ACCAGTAGAAGAAAAGAAATAATAAAACCAAAGCAGAAATAAATGAAATTGAAACTAAAAAAACAATCCAAAAGATCAATGAAACCAAGAGCTGGTTCTTTGAAAAATAAATAAAATAGACAAACCCCTAGCCAGGCTCACAAAGGAAAAAAGGGAGAAAGCACAAATACACAGAATCATAAATGAAAGAGGAGAAATCACAACGGACACAGCAGAAATCAAAAGAATAATCAGTACTACTATGAACAGTTATATGGAAACAAGTTCAACAATCTAGAGGAGATGGACAAATTCCTACAACTCTACAATCACCCAAAGCTAGATAAAGAAGAAATAGAACACCTAAACAGACCAATTACAAGGAGCGAAATTGAAATGGTAATTAAAAACCTCCCAAAAAAAAAAAAGCCCAGGACCTGATGGATTTACAAATGAATTTCTACCAAACATTCAGAGACGAATTAGTGCCTATCCTTCACAAACTCTTCCAAAAAATTGAGAAGGAAGGGACAATACCAAACACATTCTATGAAGCCAATATTACACTAATACCAAAACCGAATAAGGACAACACAAAAAAGGAAAACTATAGGCCAATCTCCCTAATGAACACTGATGCAAAAATCCTCAATAAAATTTTAGCTATCAGAATCCAAGAATGTATCCATAAGATAATTCACCACGACCAAGTTGGATTCATTCCAGGGGCACAAGGATGGTTTAACATCCGAAAATCAATCAACGTTATCCAACACATCAACAAAAAGAAATATAAAAACCATATGATAATATCAATAGATGCTGAGAAAGCTTTCGACAAAGTGCAACACCCATTCATGATAAAAGCCCTTGAAATTCTTGGGATACAAGGAACATACCTCAACATCATAAAGGCCATCTATGACAAGCCAACAGCCAGTATCATTCTCAATGGTGAAAAGCTGAAAGCAATTCCATTAAGATCTGGAACAAGACAAGGATGTCCACTCTCACCACTGCTTTTCAATATAATACTGGAAGTCCTAGCCAGAGCAATAAGACAAGAGAAAGACATCCAAGGAATCCAAATAGGAAAAGAAGAAGTCAAACTATCACTATTTGCAGATGATATGATAATATACATAGAGAACCCCAAAATCTCCACAGAAAAACTAATTCAACTCATCAATCAATTCAGTAAAGTGGCAGGATACAAAATCAACACGCAAAAGTCAGTAGCCTTCCTATACACAAACAATAAATCTGAAGAAGAAGAAATCAAAAAAACACCCCTTTTATTATCGAAACAAAAAAATCAAATATTTGGGAATAAATCTAACAAAAGAGGTAAAGGACCTATACAAAGAAAACTATAAAACACTGTTAAAAGAAATAGAAGAAGACACAAAGAAATGGAAAGACATCCCCTGCTCATGGATTGGAAGAATAAACATTATTAAAATGGCCATCCTACCAAAAGCAATATACAGATTCAATGCTATTCCAATCAAAATCTCAATGGCATTCTTCAAAGAAATAGAACAATTATTGATGAAATTCATATGGAATCACCAAAAACCCCGAATAGCCAAAGCTCTACTGAAAAAAAAAGAAGGAAATGGAGGCATCACACTCCCAGACTTCAAACTATACTACAAAGCCATAATCATCAAAACTGCATGGTATTGGAACAAGAACAGACATACAGACCAATGGAATCGAATAGAAAATCCAGAAATAAACCCACAGATTTATGGTCAACTAATCTTTGACAAAGGAGCAAAGACTATGCATTGGAGCAAAGAAAGTTTGTTCAATAAATGGTGCTGGGAAAACTGGGTCGCTACATGCAAAAGAATGAAGCTTGACCACTACCTCACACCATACACAAAAATCAACTCAAAATGGATTAAAGAACTAGACATAAGACCTGAAACCATAAAATACATAGAAGGAAATATAGGCGAAACACTACGGGATTTGCACATCAAAGACATCTTTACAGACACATCACCCAAAGCAGTGATAGTGAAGAGAAAGATCAACAGCTGGGACTACATCAAATTAAAGAGCTTCTGCACAGCAAAAGAGACAATAACAAAAACAAAGAGAAACCCCACCAACTGGGAGAACATTTTTGCACCCAACACTAATGATAAAGGACTGATCACAAAAATCTGCAAAGAGCTGATGAGACTCAGCAACAACAAAGAATATAATCCAGTCAAAAAATGGGCAGAAGAGCTAAAAAGAAACTTCTCTGAAGAGGAAATGCAAATGGCCAACAGACATATGAAAAAATGTTCAACATCACTTGTAATCAGGGAAATGCAAATCAAAACTACCATGAGATACCATCTCACACCAGTGAGAATGGCACATATTAAAAAAACTAGCAACAACAAATGTTGGCGAGGATGTGGAGAAAAAGGAACTCTTGTGCACTGTTGGTGGAAGTGCAAACTGGTCCAACCACTATGGAGAGCTGTGTGGAGATTTCTGGACCTACTAAACATAGAGCTTCCATATGATCCAGCAATTCCACTCCTAGGTATTTACCCAAAGGACACAGAAACATCAATTCCAAAGAGCACCTGCACTCCTATGTTTATAGCAGCACTGTTTACAATAGCTAAGCTTTGGAAACAACCCAAATGCCCAAAAATAGATGACTGGATCAAGAAGATGTGGTACATATATACCATGGAATATTACTCAGCATTCAAAAAAGATAAACACATGCAATTTGCAGCAACATGGATGGCACTGGAAGGGATCATGCTCAGCGAAATAAGCCAAAAGAAAAAGAAAAATACCGGATGGTCTCACTCATAGCAGGAATCTAGAAAACTTAAATAAGGGACCAGGAAAATGAATATAAGAAAGTGAAAATCAAAATCAACAAAAAACTATGAACCAGAGACACTTTTTGGGGGTGGGGGGCGGGAGGGGAAGGATTGGGGTCAGAATGGGGCATTTGCAATTGTATGGGGGAATATAAAAATAAAATTTAATATTTAAAAAAAAAATAAATAAAAAAAAAAAATAAAACTGAAAAAAAAAAAAAAAACTTTAAAGAATATTGCATATAACCCATAATACCCATTAAAATTTCTTTTATAAATTAACCAATACCTATGTATAAATAGTACCCTAAAATGTATTTGGTTTCATTTAATCGCCTATTTAAGTGGGCTCCAATTTTTTAACAAATGAAACTTAACTCTGCAATGTATTTCTATGTACAAAAACCTTGATTTATGCTTCTGCTTACTTTGGGCACATGTAATAATGATAATATGATCAAAACTATGTACATTTAAAAGTTTCCTATATATATATTTTGAAATTATAATACTTTAATGTTACTACACATTGTCTTTTAGTAGAAGAAGATTATAATCCATTAAAGTAAATGTTTCCTGATACATGTCTATATTTGTTCCATTGTTTGAGATGACGCTATTATTAAGCCCACAGCAATCACTTTACGTTTTCTGCTTCTACTGCAGTGAGTAAACCTCCTCTTTCGAATGCCCCAGGACATTGGTTCTATGGGCTGGTATAATTTAAAAGATACACAATAAAACCTTCAATTGCTATAAAAAAAAAAAAAAAAAAAAAAAAAAAAAAAAAAAATAAAGCATGATTGAATGCAAAAAAAAAAAAAAAGAAAAAAAAAGAAAGAAATTCCACTTACAATAGCATCAAAGGGAATCATGTACATAGGAATAAACCTGATTTTAGGTTTAGGAGGTGAAAAATTTGTGCATTGAAAACTACCAATATTTATGAAAAATTAAGATATAAAAAAAAGTAAAGACAAACATGTTCATAGATTAAAAGACAGTATTGTGAAAATTGCCATAATATCCAAAGCAATCTGCAGAGTCAACACTATCTCTATCAAAAGCCTGATGGATATTTTTTCAGAAACAGATAAAACCATCCTAAAATTCATATGAAATCTCAAGAGAACACAAATAGTCAAAGCAATTTTGAAAGAAAAGAAAAATTTTTAATTTTAAAGTTTCAAAATATGTCATAAAGCTACCGTAATCTTAACAGTATGGTACTAGTATAAAGACAAACAAAAGGACTAATGGAATAGTATGAAGAATAAAGAAGTTAAGTTCCCTCTTATATGTTAAGATGACTTTATACGCTCAATGGTAGAAAGGTCAGCCTCTTGTTTGGGGGAAGCCATAAGCAAAAGAATGGAACTAGATCTTTATTTTACACCATATACAAAAACTAACCCGAAATGAATTAAAAACAGGGCGCCTTGGTGATGCAGGGGTTAAAGTCTCAGTACTATCAAGTGATCACCAGCCACTATAGCAAGAGTTCTATCCCTGGCCAGGCAGCTAACACTCATGGCACAGCAGACCTCTCCTGTCTTGCCCACTTCTCCGCTCAGCAGTGTATTTCAGTACATCTGCCTTTTCTGCTCCCCATTCTGTCTCTGGTGAATCTTTTCACCTCCCCACACCTTTGGCTTACATTCCAGTTCTTGTATACATAAATAAATAAAACAAAATCTTTAATAAATAAAAATTAATTAAAAACCAAAAAAAAAAAAACTTTCAAATGCCAAGAAGAAAAGTGTAGGGGTAAATTTTCATTGAATTGGAAATGATTTCTTGGCTACGCACAGGCAATAAAAGGAAAAATATGCAAGTGGAAATTATTTACCAGTGAATGTGTGAAAAGGGGTTAGCACCGAAGATATAAATCTCCTACAACTCTACAAGAAAATGTAAGATAACCTAATTTTAAAATGACCAAGAACTGAAGAGACATTTCTACGATGATGATATACCAGTGGTAAAACATCATTAATCAGCATCATTAATCATCAGAGAACTAAAAATCAAAACCACAATAAGATATTACCTCATACCCACTAGGATGGCCACTATTAAAAAAATAGAGAAATAACAAGTGTTGGTCAGATTGCAAAATCATGCAGTCTGTACGGAAAACAATTATGGGGTTTCCAAAAAAATTGAAAAACAGACCTACGATGTGATCTACAATTCCGATTTCTAGGCATATATTCAAAAGTCTTGATAGCAGGGTCTCAATGAGGTATTTTCACCACTAGATTCAAAGCAGCACTTTTCTCAGTAGCAAAGAGGCATATCCAAGCCAAATACCTGGAAAATTAATGCATAAACAAATGTGGGTGCCTCAAGTCACAAGGTAATATTATTCTGCCTTAAAAAGAATGGAATCCTGTCACATGCTACAAAATAGATGAAACCTGAAGACATTATGCCAAGTTAAATAAGCCTGACACAAAAAGACAAATACTGTATAATTCTACTTATGTGTATATCGAAAGTGGTCAAGTTCATAGAAACAAAGCAGAATGGTATGGTAGTACCAGGGCCTGAGGAAATGGGAAAAGGGGAATTGTTGGTGAATCAGTATAAAGTTTGAGATTTGCAGGATGAAAAATTTCTGGAGATTTGTTTCACATCAGATACCTAATATTGCTGAACTGTGCACTTAAAATGGTTAAGATGGTAAATCTTATGGTGTATTTTTTACCACAATAAAAGAAGTGAAGATAATTAAATGAGACACATATGAAGGATTTGGGGGAAAACTTGCACATAACAAATGCATATTAAATTCTGAATATTAATTATTAATGGAGCTATCAAATGCTACTCCAACATGATTCCTTTTCTATTGTCCCCTTCCAGCCTTTCTCCACAGACACACTGTTCTTTCTCAGTCTGTATTTATAATCTATCCTGTTTCACAGCTGTGCTGAAACCTTTGTACCTCTAAGGCGGGAGCAATGAACTGCTGGGCACGGTGATCCCCATTGAATTCCACACAGCTCTATGCACATGGTAGGAGACCAATTTTTTTAAGTTAAGATTTTTTTTCTTTGCATAATGAATATAGCACATCATTCATATAGAAAACATGAACAATAACAAAATAGAAAATGGAAAAAAGAACATGTAATTCCTACCACTTAAAAGCACTCACAATTGTGTTTTCAGTAACTCCTGAATTAAACAGAGTAAAAATAAATGTTTTAACTTTTTTTAAAAAAGATTTATTTATTTATACAAGAACCAGGGTACAGGCCAGATGCACGGGAGGGTGAGAGGATTCACCTGAGACAGAACGGGGAACAGAATGGGAAGACTGACTGAAATACACTGCTGAGGGGAGCAGCGGGCAAGACAGGAGAGGCCTGCGCGCCATGTGGGACTCTTGCTGGCAGGCAGGGATCGAACCCGTGCTGCAGAGGCTGTGGACAGCTTCAGTGTGGCTATCAACTGCCTGCGCCACCAGGGGAGGCCCAATGTTAACTTTTTTAAGAGGGAGGGAAGGCTTTAATATTCAAGTAAGTTCAAGATTTGTCTTCGTGGGCCTCCCCTGGTGGCGCAGCGGTTGAGCACTGTGTTGCGGGGCTGCCTGCGGCCTCTGCAGCGCCGGTTCGATCCCCGGCCACTGGCGAGTGTCCCACCAAAAAAAAAAAAAAAAAATTTGTCTTCGTGGAGAATAATTCAGGCAGGTTGAAACACCTGGTAGCCAAGAGGTTGATGGGTAGCTGGAATAAAAAAGAATAAAACTATGTCAATACAAATATGGCTCTTTAGTTAATAATAATTCAGTTGCAGACAAAAGAACACAGCTCTGACATTGAAGGCAGAAAGATTGGTGTCAAAGTAAAATTTTTCAACATCTGTGACCCTACTACCAAATACATAATGTGTATGTGTCATAGATTTACTTTAATTATTAATGAGGAAACAGCATGATGAAAAGTGATTTAAAGGATTCATAAGATTGATTTATACATGGTAAATAAAAGACAGAATGCTGGAATCAAATTGCTAAATTAGATTTTCAAACAAAGCAAAAAAAAAAAAGCAATACAATTATAACCTCTATGGACAAAAGGATTTGCTTTGTTATTACACAAGAATAGTATGCAACTTAATTAGTTAACATCTAATTTTAAGAAAATTGGGCCCTAATCAATAGTTAATTGTGGGCTAATATTCCTTATCTCCAGTGTCACAGGGCCCTTAGAAGGTCTATTGGACAGTTCTCCAATATGCACCCCTATGTTTATAGCAGCACTGTTTACAATAGCTAAGCTTTGGAAACAGCCCAAATGCCCAAAAATAGATGACTGGATCAAGAAGATGTGGTACATATATACCATGGAATATTACTCAGCATTCAAAAAAGATAAACACATGCAATTTGCAGCAACATGGATGACGCTGGAAGGGATCATGCTCAGTGAAATAAGCCAAAAAGAAAAAGAAAAATACCGGATGGTCTCACTCATAGCAGGGATCTAGAAAACTTAAATAAGGGACCAGGAAAATGAATAACTATAAGAAAGTGAAAATCAAAATCAACAAAAACTATGAACCAGAGACACTTTTTGGGGGTGGGGGGCGGGAGGGGAGGGATTGGGGTCAGAATGGGGGGATTGCAATTGTATGGGGAATATAAAAATAAAATTTATTAATTAAAAAAAAAATTAAAAAAAAATTAAAAAAAAAATAAATAAAATGTTGAGTCAATAATAATTTTGAAAAAAAAAAAAAAGAAAAGCAAGCAGTCATTCATCTCATGCCTTAGTCCCAAAGTTTTAATAATTTTTCTAAACTTGATGCTTTAAGTCACGAATAATCATTCCTAACTAGTATTGAACATGTCCCATGGACCAAACCTACTAAAAAGTTAAATTCTGTTCACATGTCTTATAATATCTTACTAAATTCTCATAGCACCCCTGCCTATAAGTGCTGTCATTCCTGCATTTTACAGATGGGCAGATTTAGGAGTAGAAAGGTTATACAATTCTCCCATGGTTAAATAAATTGCCAAAGCCCAGACAGAACTCAGGTCTTTCTGACCAGCCCCAAATCCAAAGAGGAGTTTCTAGATGGCACTCTAAGGTGTAACCCAAAATGAAGCAGTGGGGTACAAGAAATAAAAGGGCATAACTATCTTTGAGGATGACTTAAATGTGTGTTCTTTATCATTCTTATCCTGTCACATCTTATGTGAACATTTTACAAGATAGCACATAGAAAGTTTCTGAATAGATAAATAACATGTATTAGTGGGACACAATCAAAATGGGGTTGAAACTTCTGCTTGTAAAGATTTTTTTTACTTCCACATTTGCTGCTGTGTGTTTCTGACCTCTCTAACTCAATTTGTTTTCTAGTATCCATCTGGGTGGTTTGAAAGCCTCATATATCCTTTCTGCAGTGTGAGGGGGAGCAGCATTTTCATCTTAAGGGAGATTAGGAGAGGCTTAGAGGCAACGTTATTTTCTTTATGTGCTTGGAAGTCCTGGGGAAGGGGAAATCCACGTTCTCATTTCTTTTGTCCCTCGTTCTGGCTTTATGAAAGAGCGAAGCGCAAGGGGGATTTGCCATGAAGTACAAAGAAATGTACATATGACTCTCAAGTTCCTACTCAGAACTTTTAGAAATCAGGTGGTGGGTGGCTGAAGTGATTTGAAGGTTGAAAAGTAAATGATCGGGTCGTAGGCTTAGATAAGTAAACGAATAATAAAAACTAGACACAGAGTCCACAGGAATTAAGGAACATGACTTCAGGAATAACGCGCCAAAGCCAAACGGAGGAAAGTCTGTGAGCATGTGGAGCAAGGCACTCGGAGTGTGCTGTAACATCAGAATTATTCGGCATTTTCTGAAATTACTAGTTACACTTGATTAAATAAATGTTCTAAATGCAATTAAGAATGTATTGTATGTTCACTTCATGGATGCACTAAGAAAAATACTCATTATCTTGTCTCTCTGGGATACTACACATACTTAAAGGCTTTGTGTTCTTGCCACAGTTGTAGGGGGCAAACAAGGCGGAGAGAACCAGAGCTCCCTGGCCCAGATGGAGATGTCTCTTCAGGCCCTCACACCCACACACAGATTTTGTCGCCCTTACTCCCTTCCCCAGCTTGGAAACATACACTGAAAATGTGGTCAGATCCCATTATGCAGTTAGGACACTGAGGGAAAAACTACAGAGAATTAATAGCCAGCTACATCCAGGACCCCAGGAAACACCTGTCAGAACCCATAAAGCTGGAGAGCCAAGAAATGTCCAAGAAGGGAAGGCAGTTCCCCACCCCAACCTGCTGTAGGGCAGATAAAACTATACTATTCTGCACCATAACAGAAGGGGGAGTGACTTAGAAATTCCCGCCTGGACCCATAAACCAACACCCTGGGTGCAACTGCACCATAAACCCCAGAAAAGGACAGTGTGAGAAGCACCCACACACCATTTACCCAGGAATGACCCACCACTCCTCACAGTTGTTCTTTCATGAACTTTGCACATCCAGACTTCTTCCTGGGTGTACTGTCTGAACAAATTTTTCTTTGCTCTATTTTGAGGTAGCTTTGAATTTTTTCATGACCATAGTCAAGAACTGAAGTCTGCCCAAACCCAGTACAGTTAGGAAATGTAGTTTTCTGTCTGGCACCAAATGCACCCCAAAAAACAAATGTCCATCAGGGACCTCTAGTGATGGCACAACAGACAAGCGTGACCCCAAGAAAAAGGCAGGTGTCTTAGAAGGGACGTGGCTGGGAATAGTGTCTCCCACTGGAGAACCTCAAACCAATCCTCATCCTTTTCGGAGGTGAATATCATGGCTGATTTCTTCTGGGTCTCCCTCTTCACAGCTGTAGGTACCAGACTTTGGCTCCTTGCTACATTTGCTTGTCATCCAGTTGTTCCAGATACTGTATTGGAAGTTCCCCACCCTTTAGTAGAATCATTAGGAGGAACTGGTACAACCTCCTTACTCAAAATGAAGTTCCTACCTGAGCAGCAGCACCATCACCTGGGGACTAGTCACAGCTGCAGAACCTCAGCCCTGCCCTAAACCTACTGGAGCAGAATCTGCACTTTATCTGGAGATCCCAGCTGATCTGAATGGGTCTTAGTTTGAGAAGCACTGACCTAAAGTTTAACTGATCTTGTTACCGGAACCCAGCCATCTCAGTGGCGGGAGCCGGCAGGACAATGATGTCCTTTCCACCCTGCTGCCCCACCATAAGTCAGTTGTGGCAGTTGCTCCTCAGAGCTCAGTAACTGCCGTTTGTAATGGACCAATCAGGTGAGAGCTGTGAGCTGATTGGTGCTAAATGGTCCAATCAGACTTGTGGGTGAAAGAGAATATAAGCCAGGGTTGGGGGGCGCTAAGAGAGCCCCCAGAAAAAGGAGCTGACGAGGAGAGCCCCCGGAAGGAGAGGATGACCAGGGACCCCAAAGAAGGAGGAAGACGCCAGGCCCCTGAAGAAAACAAGACAGTTCCGGCCTCCGATGAAAGAGGAAAAGAAGCGTCCAGCAGCCGCCCTCCGAGGAGGGACGAGAAGCTGGGGGCTCTGGTACGGACTGGGCCTCGGTCCTGTCTCTGACGTTGCCTGAAAGGAGCGCCAAAGGCCCTGGGCCTGGTGCCTCTAAGAGCTGTTTGCTGTTGGTACCTGGGTGAGGCAGCTGCCACTTGTGGGTACAGTGAGCTTGTTATTTCCCCTGTTTGTAAATAAACCCCATGGTTGTTCCTGGAGTTCTAAGGTCTCTTGCAATTGTGCGCGCAGGTGAGAACCCACAGACAGTGACCTGTGCCTTATGGGGCACTGTCCTTTAGCTTTTGGTCTTTGGCCTTTTGGGGCTTTTTTGGTAGCTCTCTGGTCTCAGAGACCTTCTGGCCCCTCTAAAGAGGCCTCTCTTCCCCTGTTTCACTAGGACATTGTAGGGTGAAGAAAATGTCAGGCTTTTCTGCCCTCCCGTCGTCAGGATAGATGATGGATCCTTGCGGTCCTGAATGCATGCCTGATGGCGGGCACCTGGAGTAGGGTGTGGGCATAGGTAGATGGGATTCACCTGGGCTAATACTGTGCTTTTAAGGGCGGCATCACCAGGACGCCAGCAGAAGCTGAGAAAGAAGCTGAAGCAGAAGCCGAGAAGCAGCAGAGAACGCCAGAGAGCCTAGATAGAGTGAGGATTTGCTGGGGCCTGGGAGGACTGCCAGCCTCCCAGCCCCCCAGCACCCCTGCCTGCCATATGCCTGGTGAACCCCAATAAAAGACCTGCAAAAAACCCACTAAGGACTCTGACTCCGCCTTTACCCGGTCTGCATGGGATCAGAAAACCTGCCCTGTGTTCATTCCTGCCTTTACAGACATAAACACATATCTGACTGGCTCTGAAGTCTCTGCTTTTTATAATTTTCAATATTACATTTTTTTTAAGATTTATTTATGCACACAAGAACTGGGGTACAGGCCAACGGTGCAGGGGAGTGAGAGGATTCACCAGAGAGAGAGAGTAACAGAACAGGCAGATTGACTGAAAACACTGCTGAGGGGAGCAGGGGGTGAGTCAGGAGAGGTCTGCACCATGTGGGTAGCTCCCTGGCAGCCTGGGAATCAAAGTCATGCTGTAGAAGTTGTGGATAGCTTCACAGTGCTGTGTTCAACCCTTTGCGCCACCACGGATGCTCCTGCAATATTACATTTTAAGCCCTACTTTGGAGTACAGTTCTTGGTTTAAGAAATGTTTTTTTAAAAAACTATTGCCACCTGAAGACTCAATTCAATAAATAGAGTTTCAGAGAAATTTGGAATTTCTGTACTGTAGAAAGTCTTTGGATACCATCTATTCTCCCTACTCCACTACCCATCACTTTAGATGAGGAAACTCATAGAGACATTAGACCACTTCCCAAAAATTTAATGGTGCTTTGTAAAACTACGAGTACTTCAAACTGCTCACATGATTACTAAGTTAACTGTAAAGAAATATTACTCCCAGAGAATTTCAATTGTTGAAATATACCCTGGCTGACCAACTCAAATACATGGTTTGCATCTCAGAGAGTCAACAACTGAATTTATAACCTAAGGAGATGCTCTCTCCCCCACCCAATTGCTTCCGAAAGCTGTTTTAAAGGGGAAGAGATTATTCTTTCATAGACTACCAAAAATACTGGATTTGTCTCCAGGTTTCAATTTTTATGTTAGTTATGTAAAGTGGTACTCATGAGTGAAAATTCTTTTCTCTAGACACAAAGAAAATTAAGGGCATGTCACAATTATAGATGTACAAGAGGACCAATTTGCTTTGGATACCAATTGACATCTTATAGGCATTTTGGATTTGGTTTACTTTGGAAGCTGTCAATTCACCAGTCTTTCTTAGATAAAAATAAACTGAGGAGCTCCATTTCCATTACTTTTAGGACTCTCCTGGCTATTTTACCAAGAAATATAACTTATTTTGGTAGGGGAAAAAACTCCCATACTTTAATGCCACAATAATGCCACTTTAATGCCATAATAATGCTATTTTACAGATGGGGTAATCAGTGACATAGAGGGACTAGGATCACAAAGCCATTGAGTGTGTCCCTAGCATCAGGATGTTTTACAAGTTTTCAATGGACAAGCTGTCCATCTTCTGTGTATGTCATTGTGTTATACCTTGTAGGTATTCTAGTCCCATTAAATGATGACTAAGCAGTATCTGGCAGGGTCTTCCTGAGGAAGTCAGGGCCCTATGGGATCAGAGTGGGTAGTAAGTCTCAGAACTGTGGGTTCTGAGTAGATGCCAACCCTAAGCATGTGGCAATTGTGTGTCTTCTTGATTATATTTAGTTTGCATTGCGTCACACACTGAACCAAACATATTAAAATACAGTGTCTGCGTCCAAAGAACTAAATATACAAAAAGAAAGGGGATGAGTCAGGAGGGAGAGAGTGAGCTTATCCTTTCCATGCTGTTTTAGGGCTCTGGTTTGCACAGAGAGCTGAATCAAGTTACTGATTTTAGTTACTAGTAGATACAGTGGAAAGATATGGCTACGAGATTCTCATAATGGGGTTTTCTGTTCATCAATTTCCTGGACACATGGATGTGAGAACAAGCTGCCACCTGGATCAGGTGAGACTGCATCCTCATTCAGAAAGTCTAAAACTCTGGTTCATGAACTTCTGAGAACATTGGAATGATCCAGAGAGCTTGCTAAGAAACAAATTGCAGCATCTCATTCCCAGAATTTTTAACATATTTGCATTTCTAACAAGTTCCCAGGTGATGCACATCTTTTGGACCACACTTCTAAAAGATCTGGCTTCCAACAACAAGGTAGCCCCAAGGATGCTAGAAAGGACCCAAATCTAGATATTCTGTTAAGTAACTAACAAGCAAAGGCAGGAGGCAGAAGAGGAAAGGTGAAGTGTTCACTGCTATTTGCACAGAAATTTGGTTGACATACGCACTTGCAGCTTGTATATGCATAGACTATTTCTGGATGGTTACAAAGCAAATGCTAATAATTGTTGCCATAGGGGACTGAGGGCCAAGGCTGTTATGCCAATTGTTCCCTGAATCCCTCCTCCACCCCAATCCCACCCCAGATCATTTCCCTTTTTGCAATCTGTTCCCTCTGTAATCCCATCTCCGTTGGTGGTTGACTTCCTCTTGGATTAGGTCAATGGGTGGCACCAGCAGGAGGCCTGAGGGTAAGAATAAAGCCTGATAGATTTCCTCCCTACTTTCTCTTGCTTTGGTGCAGGGTCTGGAACAGAAGCATCTGCCCACAACTAGCTGCAACCTCCCTGGCCCCACTAGGGCCCAGTTCTTTGGGCCCATCTTTGGCTTTTCCAGTCTCTGGAACCACCACGTCCCAGGTTGTTCTCCTTAGTCCCACCGACATCTCTGTTAGGGGTCTGTTCCTTAAAGTTTCTGATATTGAACTTCTGGAGGTGAATTTTGTTTCCTGCCAGGAGCCTAAGAAAGGTAGAAAACACTGTTGAGTGTATGTGCTTTTATATCATTTGAATATTGCCATCTACTTGTAATACCTGTTCAAAAGACGCAAATAGCAAAAAGTAAGTCATAAATAATGAAAATTCAATCTTAAATAATCTACAACAGTAAGTTTCAGAGAGAATCACTGGAGAATTGCTCTACTTCAACACCTAATGCCCCCTCATATTATTTAGCTTTAACCTCATGCCAACAAGAAGTTATTATTTATCTTCTTATTCCAGCCCTGCCCAGTACAGATAAGCTGACAAGGACCATACAGATAAGTTGACAAGGACCATCGCTGATACCTCCTTGCTTATGGTGTCTGGGCAGAAAGAAATTTTCAAGCTTGGAGTCACACACTCTGAATTCAAATCATAGCCATATCACTGGTTTGCTTTGCTTCCACCAATCTGCTGTCCCTCTTGACCCTTCAAGGGAATTCATCACATCACACAAAGGGTATTGTAGGGTAAAGAAAATGTCAGGCTTTTCTGCCCTTCCGCCATCAGGATAGATGATGGATCCTTGTCCTGAATGCATGCCTGATGGCGGGCACCTGGAATAGGGTGTGGGCATAGGTAGATGGGATTCAGCTGAGCTAAGACTGTGCTTTTAAGGGTGGCGTCACGGGGGGACGCCAGCAGCCCCAGCCAGCAGCAGCAGAACCTGAAGGAGAAGCCGAAGCAGAAGCAGAGAACGCCAGAGAGCCCAGATAGAGTGAAGACTTGCTGGGGGCTGGGAGGCCTGCCAGCCTCCCAGTCCCCCAGCCAGCACCCCTGCCTGCCATATGCCTGGTGAACCCCAAATAAAAAACCTGCAAAACTACTGAGGACTCTGACTCCTCCTTTACCCGATCTGCATGGGATCAGAAAACCTGCCTTGTGCCCTGTCCTGCCCCTTACAATTGGCGTATGTCGGCAAGATCCATGCAGACGGGTATTGGAGCCCTCCGAAGACCTGGAGGGACTAAGGAGAACAGACTTTGCCTGTGACGACGCTGGAGGCACCATGGCGGTATAGAAGATGGATACGTCCACGAGCTACAGGATGAGACCTGGCGTGATATATATATGTATAGACTGTATAGACCTGGCTACTGTATGAGACACCCGAAAGGACCAGCCAACGACACCGGAAAGGACCAGCCAACGACACCGGATAGGACCAGCCGACGACACCGGAAAGGACCAGCCAATGACCCCTGAGGCAGCAGGCCATTGCTGAAGCAGGGAGAGGCCAATGGACTG